CAGATACAAAAACCCAAGGTTCCAGGAAACACACCTCTGCTCCAAAGAAACACTGGCTCAGTCTAACAGGTTGGAAAAAAAGCCTGCAAGAAACAGGACCCAAGAAAAGCAGGGATGGTCAAACTTAGATAAAATAAATTCCCAACTATAAACAAGGGTTTCCACAGAAGCTGACAGCACAAAAAGAGGGGGCAGGCCTGGAGGAGCTAAAGTGGGCAACTAAGGTGAAACTCATGTTTCAGGATTCCCTTTATCCTTCTAGAAAAGGGCTACTCTCAGTCTAGCTAAAACAGAGTGAGTGCACTTCTGCCTCAGATCAGTTAGAAACCTTAAACAGAATAGAGGCTGGTGGTCTCCAAAATTCCAGCTCCAACAGTCATTGCACTTGAGTCCCTCAAAGGCAACCAAGAGTCCCAGCAGTCACATGGGGCCATCATCATGACCCATGACCAGCAGCCTTGAACCCACAGCTGCTAAAAATAATTTCCCCCAGTTTTATTGCAAAAGAGTTGACATACATCACTGTATAAATATAAGGAGCAGAGCATGATTGATTTACATATATTGTGAAATGATTACCACAAATAGGTTCAGCTAATATCTATCTTTCCATATAGAAACAACAGGGCAATTTTTAAATAGGACAGTGAGTCATTTCACTCCCTTCACCTGCAGAAGGCTGTTGTCTCACAGAAGGGAAAGAGCCTGGCGTGGGGGGCGGACCCCAGAAGCAAAGGCAGGAGCCGGCTATGCTGACACTTCTCAGAGTGAAGTAGAGCTGGGCTTCCAAGACAGTGTTCACACTCCAGGCCCACGGCAGAGCCGTACAGGGTCCCACACCAAGCTCTGCTACAGGTACTCCACATGCTCAGTCTCTGATGAGGGAAAGGAGTCAGAAAAACTTCAAGGGGACAGAAGCTACAATTCTCTTGGCCACACCGCAGGGCTTGCAGATAACGCAGCTAAAGCAAGAACTTAAGAAATGGCTCAAGGGTCCTAAAACTCCTTAACTAAATATTTCCATTTTTAAGGCCAAGGACACAAATGCCAATGTCTGTTTAAAGACAACAAAAAATGTTTTAATAAGTCAATTTAAATACCCAGCCTAGCATATTTAAGGGGGCTCAGAGCGTACATTTAAGAATTCTAGTCCTAGATTAATTACTATAGTGGGTAATTACTAGAGTTACTCTAGATTAATTACTAGGGTAGAGTAACTTCCCTGAGGGCAAGACTCTCTTTTGCTGGCTGCCCAGAAGAGAGCCGGGTAGGAGGCCGCCCACAGTAAATACCTGTTGAATGAACATCTTTTCCAAGACTTCGTTCTCTTAAAATTCAACTGCTTAATGACCACAGTAAAAGCCAAACCAGCACTGTAACACATACAGATGACATTAGAAAGTCCTATGTCAAAAATCACTCATAGCTGGGACACACACAACCTGTCCTGCTGGATGTGGCAACTGAACCCCAAGAAACCTCGACTCCTTAAAGTTGGGTTAATATAAGTGGTTGTTTCAATGAGAAAGGCAGTGGGTGGGTTAGTTCAGACAGATAAGACCCTTAGGAAATTTCTGTAAGAAAAATAACAAAGTTGTAAGTATATTTTATTACAGGCTAAAAATATCTCCAAGTGGATAAAGGCTTCCAAGTTCACACTTAAACCTGTTTATTTCACTGTTTATTTGGAAGTAATTCTCAAGCCTAAAACAAAACTTCAAGAATTAAAATAGGACAAGGAACAGTCACATACTCTGCCAAGATTCAGATTCACCTCTAGTTAACAGCTTACCCTGTTGGCTCAATCACTGTTCTCTTTCTCTTGAAATATTCCACACACATTTTTTTCTCAATCATTGGAAAGGAGACCTAGTTCCACGAATAAGGATATTCTCCTCTACTACAAGAGCGTGATCATCAACTTCAGAAAGTTTAACACATATGATACTTTTATCTAGCATTCCTATCCCAATTTTGTCATTTGACCAATAATACTTCTGAGAACATTTTGCCCCCTCCAGTCCAGAACTCAGTCCAGGCTTAGGTGTAACATATAATTATCATGTCTCCTTAGTATCCTTAACTGGGTACATTTTCACAGCGTCTCATTTATGACTGACATTTTAAAAATTCCCTGTCCACCCTTTTTGTTTAGATGGCTTTTTGATCAACCAAGTTATTTTTAATTAATAAAAATATTCTTATATCTGAAACCTTACTCAAATTTATATTTTCCATTAATTCTTAGTATTTTGCTTTGCACTTAAAATGTACACCTCTCTCCCTCTCTCTCTGAAACTAGAAGTACAACTGACCCAATAAGCCAACCTTGTGTAATTGAAAATCCACATATAACTTATAGCTGGTTCTCTGTAGAGGCAGGTTCTGCATTCAGGGATTCCACCAAACCACTACCAATCTACGAATGTGGAACCAAAGTTAGGGAAAAAATCCACATACAAGTAGACCCACACACTTCAAAATGCCCCTGTTAAGTGGAAACAATGTCTGATTTATGCAGTTTCAAATAAAACTTTTCAAAATCACATGTAGCAATACTGTACATACAGCATATTGGAGTGTGTGTTCCCAAATGTTTCTGGGATTGTGATCTCTTAATGAGAATGTAGCTGCCATTCAAGTCTCTGAGATTCACCCTTCCTTCTCATTCCCACCACTGCACACACAGGCTGGCTAATCATCTTTCTGGTATAAATGGATGTTCACCTACGGGGGCTCTGGTGTTGATGCTTAGTATTTCAGGCACCATCAACACAATCAGATCTCTGGCTTTGCCAGAGAATTTATAGAAACCCAAAGAAGTTAAACATTTACTATTAGGTCATTCTAACTTAACCTTTGGCTATTCACCTACGATGCTCAAATTTGGTTTTTGAGGTTGTAGAAGTTGTAATCAAACAAGTAGCTTTTACAGTGGGACACACAGTAAAGAAAACCTTCCAATTCCACAAAGACTCTTTGGCCCCTTTCTCCTCAAATCTAAATATTTCATTTGGATAAACGAAGATAAGCAAAAAGCTGAAAGATAAAACAGTGCTGAGGTTTTCACTGCAAGCCGCTGAAGCAGTAGCCATCTAAACTGTAGATCCAGTGAACAGCTGCATCTCCCTCACCTCATAGCAATTCCCAGATTAATCACTATTAGCTTCACCTGGTCATGAATCTGGCTCAGCTTGTTTCCTTCAATTTGCGGGATTTAGAGAACAGTGGACCTGCATCTCCATGTTTAATCAAACTCAACACGCACTGGCCAAAACAGAGGGGTGACACTCAAAGGGACTGTCCACTACTCTAGGAGTACATGCCTGCTGCCGGCTCATTGGGTTCGGAATCTCCCGGTTCTCTCGAAGCCCCAACTCCCTAACTACCTCTTCTAACATGAGCAGGTTACCTAAAGACAGGTGACTCTACTGATAAAGGGCTAATTGTTAACCTGTTGCTATTGTTGGTCCTTCGTGTAGATTTTAGAACATAATCCCCACATTAACAGGCAGAGCCACTATACTAGAATTAAACAGTGTCCAATTTAAAACCTAAGTTAATGTCCAAACTCTCCTTTAACAAAAAATCTGAGAAGCTACAAGTTAAAAAAAACAAAAACCCACAGGCAGCAGGCAAGCAGGTGTGTGTGCATGCAAACAGTTTTCGAACACTGGATTTACTAAAAAAAAAATCTCTCCAATCTAATCCTTGAGTCCTTGAAAGATGGAGGATCATGCATTATATATTCTGAAAACAATCTTAATGCTTTGCTATAGTTTACATTTGTTTTTAATTATAACAGCATAACAACATAACAAACTCAGAATCCATCTGACTACGCTTCTATGGTAAGTGCAATATCTAAATATCTGAGGATGAGTTATGAGGTTTCTGTTGTGCAAATACTGCTTCTCAAGGGAGAAGCTGCAAAAGTTTCTTCCAAACCTTTTTTCACTAAGCCAATCCCACTTGAAGAATGCCATCAGTTTCTTATGACATTCCTACATCTAAACATCAGGTCACAAATGTAAAACCTTGTTAAGTGGACACAATAATTCAGGATACCAAACTGCCTGGTGAACATTTGTAATTTTATTTGTATTTTCCATTCTAGAAATAAAACGTGTGGGTCCTGATAATATTTATAACAAAACACTATTTCAACTGATGAAGAAATGGAGTCTGATCAAAACATTTAGCGAAGCCAGATGAGATTCCTACCAGCACTCGCCCCCTAGACAATAAAATGGTAGCAGAGGCATCCCACCCAGGAACCCCTACACAGCACCAACTGACACCAAATGCCAAACAAGTAACATTAGTCAGCTTTTCTGTTGCAAGGTCTCCTCAAAGAATTTCTTTAGCCAGGTGAAACTACTGTCCAAGGCTAGGCCAATACCCTTGGTTTCTATTTCAATTAATTCTTTTGGTCATCAGTTATATTCTTTGAGGAATTTTTTTTTTACCAGCACTGAAACACAGTGCTTATTTCCAAAATAAAACTGCTTGGGAAAAGGCTCCTGAGGTCCCCCTAAGCTGGAGGTCCCCCTAATGCCTTATTTATTTCCTTAACCTATTTGAATCCTTTCCATTGCCCATTCACACCTGTAGATCCAGCAGTGAAAAGATCCTCTATTAGCTGACAAATAATAAATGTGCAAGAAAAACAAAAAACAAAAAACACAATAAAATCCCATTTGACTGCTGCATTCACAGGCCAGCCCCACTTTCTCACACCGCCTTGTCTTCAGCTCCTTCTTGCCCTCTTCTGCCTGCACCCACACTGCTCTCCCCAGGTCACCTATATCAAAGTTTTTTCAGAACTGCAGAGTTAATCCTCTCCCCCCTGCCCCCCCCCAATTCTCCTTTTTTGAATATTCTTTTGACTTCTGGGAGACACTGCCTATTTCCTCCTGTCCTCTGACCAACCCTCAGATCCCTCTGAGCTTCCTCCTCTACAGGTTTTACAAGACAGCTCAGAGACACATCAAACTTACTGGGGTGCAAGCAGGCAGTAGGGTGGAGCAGGCAAAGGGGGCCTCCCAGCCCCCAGCGCATCTTCACTGGGCTCTCTCTGGCGTCGTCTTGTAGTCTTTCCTCTCATAGCCATTCTCCGCCATCTTGCCGCACTCCGCTGCACTCTGCCTTATATGGTCAGTCTCTCAACTCAGGTGTGCCCACTTAGGCCCGCCCACACCATACTCCAGGTGTCCACCATCAGGCACGCATACCCAGGGCCCATGCTCCCAAGCGCCTCCTGCATACAAGGCTGCAGGTGACAGCCGCAGAGGCCAACGGTGCAAAAGCCTGAGCATCTTCATTTACCCTACATTTACCTTGTCCAAAAGAGGTCCTCAGAGGCCACAGGGCTTTTGTACATGTTGTTTCCCCAATTCAAAAGGCTAATTCTTTGACTTTTTACCCAGCTAACACAATCCACACATTCCACAGGTCTCAGCTGTGCTCTCAGGTGCTCAGAGAAACTCTCCTTGACACTTCAACCTAAATTAGTTTCCCTGCTATTCTCTCTCACATTCCCCTGCACTTACCACCATTTATAAGTCTGTATTTTATGGCTTAAAATCCCCCCACTACTACTCCTAGCACCTTCTCTACTCTGTAGGTTCCATGAGAACAGTGTTGAATAAAATGTTCTTTTGGCTTTCCTTCTCTAAAAACAAATAATTATATGGATTTTGCAACATACTGCATGCAAATACAAACATAGTAATTACTGCTTTTGCATGTTGAGAAACTAAGACCCCAGAAGGAAAGAGTAACAATCACAGTACCATAGCAAAAGACAAAAATCAGACTTCTAACTCTAAACATATTTTCTCTCTAGAGAAAAAAAGTAAATCCAAAACAGATCTTTTAATTTGAAATAAAGTACCTGACTGGATTAGATGCACTTCTGAAAATAGATTTTAAACCTCTGTAAAACTGACACACCCCACACATGCTAGACATTTTGAAGGCTAAATATAGTAATAGGACAAATATCTGAAGCACTGGGAGCACAGGAGCAATCATGTTCCATAAGGCAATAATGTGACATTATTTTAATGTCTCTCCTGATCCCCATTACCAAAATAGAGCTGGTAACAAGGAAAAAATTGCCAAACTTTCCCAATTTTCAGATTGTCTATATTTTCTCAAAGTGCACATTAAAAAAAAGCATATATTCTACAATACTTGTGAGAAACACAGTTCCTTCACCTTTCCCTACACTCACCTCCCAGCTCCCCAAAGGCAAGCACTTCCAATTCTTAACTGATTTTGTATTTACCTTCACATCTCCAAGGAACATGTTTTCATAACTACTTCTTGAATGTTTAGTTTACGCCTTGGCTTAACTTTCAGAAGTGGAGGACTGAGCTCTCTTTCACTGACCACGACCACCACTGCCACTGCCCACCAACACTTCGGCAGTAGTTGCAGTGAGGCCATGAGTCAATATTTACATTATCATAGCTGCTTCTTTAAAAACTATGAAACCTTTCCTAACCTACAAAGCTTTGTCATTTTCCCTGGCGTCCATGACTGTTCTGGAATTTCTGGCTTATTTAACTTTCTCTGTATCAATAACTTACCCACAAATTCTCTCCTACTGCACAGATACTCCTACAATAGGTGGAAGCATATTGGGTACAACATTTCACTTCTCTTGTCTTCTGCCCTGCTCCCATCAGAACTGAGGGGTCTCTCAGCTGTCATCCTGGGATCCCCCTTGTAGTGGGGCAGCCAGGCACAGGGGCAGGGTGGAAGGCTGGAAGGCTTGGGCCAGGCAGAGTGGGGGGCTGGGAGGCAGGCAGGCAACCAAGTTTCCCCGCCTTCCTATGAATCTTTACTCTCTCTCTGGGCTCTCTGGGGCGTTCTCTTGTGGTCTCACCTCTTCTGTAGTCCCCGGTTCGTCCTCTCGGAGCCATCCTCTGTCTGAGTGATGCCACCCTTACATCCCTGACTTCTAGCCCCAGTGTGCACACTTACGCATGCATGCACACCCATGCTCCAGGTGTCCACAATCAGGCACGCGCCCCGCTCCCACGCTCCCAAGCACCTTGTGTATCAGCACAATTAAGGCCGCAGGTGATAGTCACAGAGGCTAGTGATGTAAAAAGCCTGGTTAATTCACTTATCCTACACCCCTTCATTTTCATTCTAGGTCTGAGAATTTCTTCTTAAACAAGTAACAAAAAATATAACTATGAAGGAAAAAGAAAGTTCCATCTACAAAATACCCATAATAAAAATAAAAAGCCAAGTCATTCAGTAAGAAATTTTTAACATAGTTGAAAAGGAATACAATACATAGGGGGCCTCCCTGGTAGCGCAAGGGGTTAAGATGCAATCTAGGAAGCTAGCCACAGCCACTGCAGCACGAGTTCAATCCCCAGCCAGGGAGCAATGCACATGGTGCAGCAGACCTGTCCTGACTCGCCCACTGCTCCCCTCAGCAGTGTACTTCAGTCAATCTGCCTGTTCTGTTCCCCACTCTGTCTCTGGTGAATCCTCTCACCACCCCCACCTCTGGCCTGTACCCCAGTTCTTATATCTAAAAATAAATCAATCTTTAAAAAAAAGGAATAGAATACATAGATACAAGAGAAAACAAATATTTAATAAACACACAGAAAGAGAGTCTCTGCTCTTTGAATTATAAAGGAAAAGGCAATTCAATGGCTTTGAAATACTATTTGATTGGCAAAAGTAAGATATCTGATGATCCCAAAGTAATGGCCAACTGTGGGAGCTTTTCCACACTGCTGCCAGAACTGCAAACTGGCACACAATCACTTTGGAAAATAATTTGGAATTACCTAGAAAAGTTGAAAATGCACATCCCTATGATAGAAGTTCAAAAAAATAGGGGGGGGCGGATTTGTGCTGGAAATGTTATCAGATTTTCTACTCCCATTTAAAATAAATTCCTCCTTTATACATGCCACCAGAATGTGGAGCTGAGATCAAAAAACCCAATTTCTTCACAGTTAGCAAACGAATTCTTTAAAAGCTCCCAGCCTCTTGGTCATTTTCAGGGAAGAGTCCCAATTAGGCTGGAATGGCTAGCCTCCACCAGCCCGCCACCCACACACTTGTACCTGCCCTGTTTGATTCTCTAATTACAAACGCATTGCTCTTGTTATGTTCTCATTAAATGCAACTGTTGGAAACCCCAAAGCTTTCATTAATGGCTTACCAGTCCTTAAAGATGTATGTTATCTTACCTATGTAATCCTCCTGATTTATGCTCCTAAAATTAAAGTACATCCTTTATTTATGAATTCTTTATTGTTCTTTTGGGAAACAAGACCAAAGCTTGTAAGAGTCTAGAGCCATTATCTTGGAAGTTTACACAATGCAATGGCCGCCCTATTGAGCCACTGGTGGTGGAGATGAAATCCTCATGCTCAGCTACGGAGCAGGACTCCAGTCAATGTCAGATGGACTTAGTCTAGAGAGGCAGCACCCATGCTGGGTTTCACCAGTTTCCAATCTTTTGATGGAATGAGCAAGACTTGTGACCCCTAGTATCAGTTTCATCTCTTTGGTAACACTGTGACATAGTGACACAGTATCTTTGGGACGCTGTTCCAAAGGCAGTAATGAATTCACTCTGGGCACAACCACTCACACTCAACACATGAACACCAAGGTGAAGTTCTTTTCTTAGGATTTAATGTGGTCAAAGATGCCCTGTACCCAAAACCTGTAAATGCCTTTCTTTTGGGCAGTACTTAGTACAAAAATGCTACTTAAATAATCTCCTAATTACACTTATAAAACACTGCACATTCTAGCAGATAAATGTATGTCTCATATCCTTCACCACAATACAAATTTCTTTACTTTTATTCTCAGAAGTCTTCCTGGTATTCATTTTTTAAAATGTTATTTTGCTTTTGTTTTTCAAGCCTACTATCAAATCTTCAATATATAGTGCTTAATTCTTCTTCAATATATATGGCTTAATTCTAAGCATTATTTTAATTGGAACCCTTGTGCACTGCTGGCAGGAATGTAAAATGGTATAGCCACTATGAAAAACACTTTCTAAGTTTCTAAAGTAAACTTTATTATTGCCTTTGTCTTAAGGCTGAGTTGTAACTAAAGCTTAAAGAAACTGAATAAACTAGCCCAAGGCTTCTCAGCTCAATATCATAACCAAGGGACAGATCTTGACACCATAGCCTATGTATTCCACTATCCCAGATGGCCTCCTTTAACCCTAACTGTTTAAGAAATAAATTAACCCATAATTACTATAAATGTAATGACATGAACAGGGGCTGAAGACAAACATTCTAAAAAGTAGAAAACGTAATTATTTTATTCAAATTACTAATTTTTAAATGCCAGTTCTCTTTGGTAGGGTTATACTACCAAAGACTGCTCATAAAATACTGGAAAATAAATCTTTCAGGCTACATCTAGGTGGTGATATTGGTCTTTAAAGTTACAATTATGCTGCTCATTCTAATGATTCACAGAACACTGGGGACAAAGTAGAGCCGCCTCCCAAAAGCAAACTTCTCGCAGTCTTTGTACTCCCAGCAATGACAACCTTTATAAGAAATATTCCCAAGGACAGAGACTGTTTCCAAGTGAACACTGTATAACTTCTTCTCTTCCCAGGCAGCAAAATCACTTCTGTAAGGGAGCACTGGAAACATCTTAGAACACTGTATTCAGCTGTACCATGTTCCAACTGGAGGAAGGTTTCCCTGCTGCCACTTTTCCAGACCGCTCCAAGGCCACCTGAGAAGTGCCTGCCATTACCCCTCTCCCTCAGAGGGAGCTACAAAAAGAAGACAGAAGGAGGTCTTTACTTCCCACCCAACCCCTCCAGCTTTTCAGCAAAGTGCCAGGTAAACAGGAAGATGAGAAAGGACAGGAGATATTCCTGTTCCTGTGAACAGGTCAGCCTCAGTAAGAAAAGCTGGACCTTCACTCCCACCCAACTTTAAAAAGTGGGACCCATCATTCATGCATGTATTTATCAATTTATTCATCCTACAAATGTTTATTGAGCATATCCTATGTGGCGCCATCATAAAGGTGTTGTCAAAGAACAGGCATTGGAGCGGGGGAGGGAAGCAATGAACATAAAAAGGTACATACTAGAAAGTAAGAGTTATGATGAAAATAAAACTGGAGATTCATACAGTGTGAGAGAGAGAGAGTGTGTGTGTGTGTGTGTGTGTGTGTGTGTGTGTGTGTGCAGGAAGACAAATAATCCTTAATGAAACAAAACCTTCTATTTCTGAGGATGGGAAATAAACATGAGAGATTATTGATGTACCAATAGAGATCTCACATATTTAAGCTCCTACTATCTAGTAACAAATTCAGCATCAAAATAAAAGAGAAACTCCTTCACTAATACTTCCTTAACCGTGTCTACTTGCCTCTCTCCAAAGAAAAGTCTGAAACCAGTCGAAATGCACATCATCTTCGCCCCCATTATTTTTATGGATAAACTCAGTCTGTTTTAAAGCTTAAAAAAGAAATTGCTAAAAATCTGCCAAATTAGATTCCTACATTTTCTAAGAACCACCACCAGCAAAGCGCTCTCCTCTCTATCACATTAGTCTTGATTTTACAACATTCTTAAGTGCCCCGTTAAAACCAGCCCGTTGGTGGGTGTGGTAATTCAG